GGGTCCAGGGGCCGCAGGCCCCGGTGGGGGGGGTTGCGGGGGGCGAAGGCCCCCCCCACTGTAGAAAAACGAAATGACAAGTGAAGAGAAAATATTGAAGAAAAAGAGATGCAAAATCCTAAATTGAGATTCGAAAGAACGAATGCAAAAGTTGTAATTCACGGAGTCTGTCAAAAACATTCAAAAAACATCTAGATGAGAATGGAAATCTTCCTCCTCCTGAAATGGAAATTGCAACAAATTGAAAGAATAAAAAGAAGGATTAATCATTTTTCTAAATTTATTCTCATGAGAAAATCAACGTGTGAACATCTACAGTTTACAACTTTTCTTTTTCATCGTTCCTCTTCTTCTCACAACATACTCAAATTTTTCATCACATTTTAATAGAAATATATATATAATCTATTCAAAATAGATATATAACGAGAAAGTGAATATAATCTCTTTATTAAACTAATATTTTGACAATATAACCCTCAAGTTACGACTGACTCCCTAGCAACGGAATAACAACTCCTGATGTCATCGGCAATGACGGTGGCGCATCGTATTAGTGGTGAACGATCCGCCGAGTTTTCAAGCAAGTGACAGCGATAACCGCACACTTCATGTTGTATTCCTACGAAGGTTTTGTGGGTTGCCCATCTAGAAACTGTATGTTTTTATTGTCCTAGGGCTGCTAACTCGAGTTAACCATACCTGTGCTTCGTTTAACGGACCTGGTCTGTTAAACGCCATTTAGCTTCCCTCAAGACAGCTATAGTAGGCGCTACCTAACGGGCCTGAATGACGAAAAATATCATTTTATGTCCCTAGGACCGTAAAACCACGATTCTAACATCGATTTTGTCGGTTAAATCGCGGTTTCCGGGCCCAGAGACATAAAATATTGTATGCCACACAGCGATAAAACTATTTCCTGACTCGTGTGATTAAAATCCTCGATTCGCGGCATTTTAAGAAACTCAAAAACATGAGCTTCATGCCTCGTAATGAGTAAATTTCACGAGGGTCAAACGTTGCAAAAGGCCAATATCACAAGTCATCTCCATTGTGAGAAAGTCAATCTCATTATTTATTGAGCTTTATTGGATTTTCCGCTTTATTATCTGGAGCCCGGGAAGAGCTCAGTTGGATCTGAAAGGAACCATTTTGTTCTGACGAGTTCAAAAAAGCTACCAAAGACAATTGAATTCATTTTGTCATTTAAGAATGCTGAATGAAACAAGGTAATGGCAAGACACAAGATGATGACGCAACGCATTCAATGGAGATCAATAAATAATGAGATTGAACCTTGTAAATTCATTCCTTACACGGCATGACCCTTACGAGGTGTGACCCGCGCGGTTTATCACCCTTGCGAGGTATAATCTTTGCGAAGCTTCGCGGTTTACGATAAAAGATCACGTCGGCTGTTTTTTTTCCATTTTTTACATTTATTACGTAAATTACGCGTTTTTTACAATGTCATGTAAAAAACTGCGGTCATCGATGAAACAATAATAATGACACGTTAGCAATCTTGTAACTTAGGGATAAAATATTTGTTGATAAATTTTCCTCTATATGAAATATTTTCATCCTGAAAAGGCACCGTCTGGTGTGAATAATCCGCCTCTTGAGGCAGATATTTCGTTGCTGTCGAAAGCAGAGCAATTATTCATGTTTGAGACATTCAAATTGGAACCAAACAAATTCTTTTTTGGCAATTTTCAACTACCGACTTTGTTGGCCCAAATAAGACTTGTTTGACAACGGGTTTGTTTTTCCCTCAGCGTATTGACTTTTCTTTATTGAATATCCAATAGAATCAGCGCAAAAAATATAATTCCTCAATAGAATTCCAATAGAAATCCTATAGAGACTCCATAGAATTCCAACAGAATTTTCTAGCGAATTCGCTAGGTTTTCTATTAAGGGTGCCAAGTGAATTTGGCGATGACCTTGAAAATTGACATTCACCAATAAAGTTATAATTTTTTAAATCAAAAGTATTTGACAGATGGTGAACATCGGTGACAATTTTAAAATTTTAGAACTTATGGATATCGAGAAATTAAATAAACAAAATCAGTCTTATACACGGCCTCTTATGGAGTTTTGATTAAATTGAACGTTTCAACCCCCTAGGAACTCAAGAAAAATTTGAAAAAATTTGAAGATATGGGGAATGATGTGTTCAATGTGATGGCGACAAAAAACAATGGGGTACCGGGGTGAATAAGAGAGATATTTCAACCCGCCGTACCCATTTGATCCCATGCTTTCTCAAGGTTCGTCACGCGAAATAGAGGATTTTCCGCATTTATTTTCTCGATGTCTAGTTCCGGTGGCGGGTTTGAAATTTCGTCGGATGGATGAATACATATTTCTCCAATGATGGAGGGAAAGAAAAAATTTGTTTTGAATCTTTTTTCAAATTCACTTGGCACCCTTAAATTGTTTCATGCGTGGATTCCTGCAGAAAAGGACTCAATACAGAACCTACCATTCTCTGTATCAAGAAACGAAGTTCCCAAAATAAACCCCTCTGTGTAACAAGTCATTCCCCAGCCCTAATATCTCCCCTTACCTTCCCCCAACCACCAGACGATGTCGACAGCCCCGAGGCCTCCAAAAAAGCGTAGACTGTCTCCCCAAATGTACCAAAAGCCTCGCGCCCACCACCCCAGAGACCCCAGCCTCCCCCAAGCGGTCGATAAGCTCTTCACCAAGCGCTATGAGTTCTCCACCAACGAGACCTTCGTCCTCCCGGCGCCAGACCGCATGTTCGTGGGTCCCCGCTGGGAGATCGAAGCCCTCCAGGCGCTGAAGAGGTCCCTGAACCTCACAAAAAGTCGTTTAAACGACTTCAACCTGATGGAGTGGCAGAGCCACACCCGCAGGAGGAACCCCGCCGGCGAGGTCCAGTGGAGGCTCCGCAAAGACATCAACCCAGAGTTCCTGACCCAGGCCTGGTGCAAATTCTACGAGAACGTCTCCTCCTTCCCGCTGATCCCCCCGGCCTCCCTGGCCTCGGGAAGCCTCAGCTCTGTGCACCTCTGCGAGGCTCCGGGCGCCTTCATCACGTCCCTGAACCACTACCTCAGGCTCAACCACCCCGAGGTCGCCTGGACCTGGACAGCGTCAACCCTCAACCCTCACTACGAGGGCAACAGCCTCTCCACCATGATCATCGACGACAGGTTCATCCTCCACACCGGGGAGCACTGGTACTTCGGTGAGGATGACACCGGCGACCTCATGACCCTGGAGAACCTCGAGGGCCTCGTCCAGAGGGGAAAGGTCATGCTAGTGACTGCTGATGGCAGCATCAGCTGTCTGGACAGGCCTGACGAGCAAGAGGCTGTTGTTGCTCATCTTCATTACTGCGAGGCTGTCGCTGCTCTCCACATTTTGGGGGAGGGGGGCAGCCTCTTGCTGAAGATATTCACGATTTTTGAACAGGAGACTGTCTGTCTGATGTACCTCCTCAGGTGCTGCTTCGAGAGGGTCGTCCTGAATAAACCTGCGACGAGCAAGGAGGGGAATTCAGAGGTTTACGTCGTTTGTCTGGGGTTCAGGGGCGAGGGGGCGGTGAGGGGG